CTCATCTCACCCTCAATTAACTTATTCATTGTGCCTTATTAATTTTTTTCCTATCACTTATTCTATTATTATTATCTTACTTCTAAACCTAGTAATTTCTGTGTTGTGTTTATTTTGTTAAAGATGTTTGTTAAGGGCTTAGTTCCCTCATGTAATGTACTATAGTACAGGGTCTTCGGCCAAATTTCATCAAAAATGACCAGGAGAGAATTCCCAGTTTTTATATTTTTTTCTGATACACATACATGTCCTTATGTTGCGTAGAAATTTTGAGCTGATTCTGATCACATTTAAATGTTTTAATGAATTCTAAAAGTTACTCAAGAATGTCACCAAAAACCCTGCACAACTATTATAATAAATGATACACATGTACACGTATGCCATTTTGTTGAAAGGCTTACTGTGGCTGTAGGAGGATAGGATTGGCCATTAGTTGGTGAGCAACTCAACTGGACACTTCTCTCCCTCCCTTTCTCCCTCTCCCTCTCTCCTCCTCCTCTATCATCACTGAACCTAACAGACTTTGGAAGAGTGGGAACAGGACTCATGGGACGCCTGAAAGAAATATAAATAAAAACGATAAAATACAATGTATAATAAGAGACTTATTGTATAAAGAAAAAATTTCGTTAATTTTGCTTTTTCAAAAGTAAAATCTATGGAAATCGATTAAATACAATGTATGGCTGAGCAGTAGAAAATCACAAAAAATTTAAGCCACAAAATAAATTTTTGGACAGATTCAGAAAAATTTTGGGTCACAAAAATTTTCCACTGTACATATATATACATTAGTTCTGAAAGAGTACATTGAAATACATGTATAAATATTAAACTGTATTATATTCAATACCTTATTGCTTCATGATCCAATACTTGCTCACTGGCTGACTGAAGTACTTGGGCCACTATCTCATCAGCTTTATTAGAACATACACTGGAGTCTGTCCCTCCACTAGCACTAACTGCAGACACATCAACAGCTTTCACATCAATGATAGAACAATCACTATCAGTGATCATACTGTCACTACTGTTAATCACTATTGACTGCAAATCTCCCTCATTCTGTTCCTCATCATTATCTGACATTAACCCTTCATTTATAAATCCTCTGATATCCTCAGGAGTCACTGATCTATTAGCTAGAGTCTCTACTAATGGCTGCTCCTCTTGCTCTCGACCCACTGTCCTTTCCTCCATTTTAACATCAGAGGTTGAGTCACGTAGACCTAATGAAAGAGAAGGTTTTGTCTGTTTCTTCATTCTTTTCTCTGCTGCAGTGTCTTTGCTGGTAGTTTTATTCCTATCGCTGCTGGTAGACCTATTGGTAGCTGTTCTTTTGTTCCTAGACGCAGCACCCATCACTGGAGCAGTGTTTACTGGAGGAATACCGCTAGTAGCCATTCCTTTACTAGTAACTGGTGCTTTACTGTTAACTGGTAGGTTATGTGACTGTGTAGTAGATGCAACACGTCTCTCCTTAGGACTTCTCTTACTCTCCAACTACAGGAAACAAGAAGGTGATCATGCAGTTACAGGCAAATCACAGCAATAATTGCATATGGCAACAGATTGAACAGAAGCATATATTTTTTTGTAGATTAGATCAACATGTAATTCTTAATTTTTTTTACTTTCTATTAATAAATACTAATAATATATCTAACATACTACATGTATTTTTAACGACCTGGGGGCGAAGCCCCCAGGTCGTTCCTATAATTGAATTCACCGTCGCGCTATGTATATATATATATATATATATATTTATTTGTATGTCCACACTTACATTTCTTCTATACACGTTGTATTGGAGAAATAACAAGCCTTAGCAACCACCCGCCCACGCTCCTTTACATGAGTGGGTGTGGTCACGGCAAACAAAATGGCGGCTTACACATGGGACAAAGTTAAAAGCTTTCTAACAGCAAGAGAGCATAGAGATACTGTCTAAAGACTTCTCTAGAAGCATTATAAGGTAGAGAGAACTTCTATAAGTCTTAATAATGACCAAGTTGTACTTGCAAGGTGGTGAAATCAATTATAGGAATATTTTTTACCCTGTTACGCTTGTTATTTTGTTAGAGGTTATATGACAAATCATTACAAGCCATTTTAAGTGACTATACATGTACATGTAGCTTTGGCTAAAAAAGAAGATATTAAAAACATACACACATTATACATGTACCTGCTTCTGCCATTGTAGCAGTCTTTGTTCTTCCATCATTCTCAAGTCTTTTTGCAGCTCTTCGTTCTGAGACTCCAAACTCTCAATCCTTAGTCTGTACCGTGAGAGAGTACTCGACCAACGCTGCTCCTTCTGACGTAGCTCCTCCCTCAAATCCTCCAACTACAGTTTCCAATTAATGCACACGTACAATATAGAGTATCTTTTGTACCTCTTTCCTTAAGGCAGCTCTCTCCTCCTTCTCTTTCTTGTCTTTCTGCGATTTTGACTCTTTCTGGTACATTTCAAATACTTTACGTTCTCTCCTAAGACACATATAACAAGCACAATAGTGTATTAATGTATAAATATTCCCATATATGGCACATCCTTTTTTTTAAAAAATGGCTCTGAAATGATCCCAAATTTTTATTACATTTTCTGATACATATTGATGTACTTATGCTTTATAAAAAGTTTGAGTCAATTCCGACTTCAATTTTTCAAGTTATGGCCATTTTTTAAAAAACTCCAAATTTAGCAAAAATACCCTGTACTATTATAGCCCATGGTTTTTTCCAAAAAATGGCTCCAAAATCACCCCTAATTTTTATTACATTTTCTTATACATATTGATGTACTTATGCTACGTAGAAAGTTTGAGCCAATTCTGACTTCGATTTTTCAAGTTATGGCTATTTTTTAAAAACTTCAAATTTCTGAAAAGTACCCTGTACTATAGCCCATGGTTTTTTCCAAAAAATGGCTCCAAAATCACCCCTAAATTTTATTACATTTTCTGATATATACTGAGGTCCTAATGCTATGTAGAAATTTTGAGCTGATTCCGACTTTAATTTTTTGAGTTATGACCATTTTAAAAAGTAACACATTTTCAAAAGACTATAGTCTTTTTTTGAAAATGTGCCACAACTGATTGGCCAATTACAACTACATAAGTACAGTAGAAATTTATAATTACTTTAGTTTTCTGATCTCGTCCTCCTTGTATTGCTCAAAGTTGTTCATCTCAAGCTCTTTCTCTCTCTCAAATCTCTCCACCTCTTCTTTCAAGGAGAGCAAACCCTACACAACACAACAGGTAAAGATAAAAGAGAGACACTACAGTCTATACATGTACCTGTTCCTTTTCAACCCTTAGTCTCTCCAAGGCAGCATTCTCAGTCTTAAAAGTATTAATTTCCTTCTCAAGTTGCAAAAGCTTGTCCTGTATCTCATCGCTAACTCCTTCAATACCCGATGGACCCACTTTAGGAAAAGGAGCCGTTGTTTGATGAACTGTAGAAAGTGACGGTCCTTGGTATTGAGGTATGGAGGCAGTAGGAGGTTGTGAAGGGACAAAAGGTTGTTGCATATTAGTTGTGGTCGGCTTGATTTTAGCCTGAGAGCTTGCTCTCTCTTTGCTTAGACTTGGAAATAACTTAGCAACAAGAGAAGAAGGAGGAGGGAGGGAAGGAGCTGATACAGTATCACCAGAAGGAAGAGGAGGATTATCAGTCTCCTGAGACTCTGTCTTCCCTTGCGATGCAAGTACTTTAACTTTTCTAACTGGAGCTGAAGCATGTGGAGGAGGAGTAGGAGAATGAGCAGGAAGAGAGACAGAAGAAGAGAAATCGGAAGAATGTGGTATAGAAGCTGAAGTTAAAGCAATAAGCTTCTTTGGTGAAGAATAAGGACTACTCTCAGTACTGGTTGTACATGTACTAGCTAAGACTGGAGGGATCTGCATTGGAGTGCTCTTAAAGCTACCCCACTCCTCTTCATCACCAAACCTCTCCCTTCCCTCCTCTCCATCAGTAGTAAGAGTTGAATTAAAATCAGAGAGTCCTTCCTCTTCTTGCACTGAAGGCAGTGGAAAGTGAGGTAGAGGTGGTCCCTTTCTCTCCCCCATCACTAGCAGAGGCTCTTCATCAACATCAAGGACACTTTCAGTCAAAGATGCCCTCTCTCTATGCAATGATCTCATATCTGTGATCTGTGAAGGGCTACCAAGCCCTCCACTGGGCTCTTCCTTCACCTCATTCCTGATGCTAGCAGTATTCTTCAAAGAGAGAGGGCTAGAAGTAGAGGAAGGCTGACAGTTAGCTAAAGCACGAGTCACTATAGAGCACTGGGATGTGAAGGAAGTCTCCTCTGCTGCTCTTTCCAGCAATTCAAACTCTGCCAGCTCAGCCTCCTCTCTCTATAACAATGAGAGAAAGAGAGAGGAAGAAAGAAGAGGAGAGAGTATTAATAATTAATTATTATTTCATTAAATACTTTTTCTCTCTGCTCTTTACGACCAAAAAATGAGTCCTGACTAGAGCACCTTGCTAGTGATGACTGATTAGGAGGCGTTGAAGAATACTGTGATAATGGCTGCTGTAACTATAAAAATAGTCAAAAATAATAATAATAATAATAAAGGGAATAAGATATCACTGTACCTCATCAGTGACTTGGTATTGTTGTAATTTATTTTCAAGGAGCTCCTCAAATGTTGAGGCTGATTGCCCAGGGCCTACAACACAAAATTAATGATTATAAAAATGGAGAAGTCTCTCCTAGTCATTTTTTGACAAAATTTGGCCAACGACCCTGTACTATACATGTAGTACAGGGACTTTGGCTCGATTTTTGAATGGCTTTAAAAATTCATTAAAAATCCAAACTTGATCAGAATCAGCTCAAACTTGCTACACAAGTAGATAAATTTAAGAACATGTATATGTATCAGAAAATGGAGAATTCTGTCATTACTAACCGATTCCTGGTTGCAGAGGCTGCTCATCATGACTTGCTGATATCACTATCTGGAGTGGCTGAGAGACTGGCAACTAGAACGAGAGGAAGAAATCAAAAATAAAAAGTTGCCAAATGTTAAAATACGTGTAGCCTAATTTTACTTATTATAAACAAAATTTGATATATTATACTACTATCACAAAAGACTTCTTTGTTGTCAATCATACTATTATCAATAATCACTATTACACTAATATCACATAATCTTTACTAGTACTATAACTACTTTAACCGTATGCACACCATTTATTACATTACAAAACTACACATGCATATACATACATGTACATGTACAAAAATACATGTACATATATGTACCTCTTTATTATTAGCTTCATCAGTTTCTGATAGAACATCATCAGACTCTGGGGTCTCAAAGCCACTAGAACCGTCATCCACTTCGTTAACTTGACCCCTCCTTCTCGTTAAATCAACATCATGACAACTATGGCCACTGAGCATACCGGAATCAGCCGACTGGTTGGAGGCAATGGACGAGCCACTGTGTGTGTGTCCTGCCGGTTGTAATGGATTAGAATGTACAGGTTGATTATTCCCAATAAAAGAAGTGTTTGTTTCACTTGAGGAGTTTTTATACTCTTCCTCCTCCTCCTCCTCCATTTCTTCTTCTTGTTTCAGTTTTGATTGTCTCAGTAGGTCCAGTTCAAGCTGTTGCTGTAGAAACAACTCCTCCTGCTGTCTCTGCTGCCATAACCTCAACTGTCTTAGTTTTTCCAGGACCTTTTCTTCACTTTGATAAGACGAGGAAGGTAGGAGTCCCGATGGTGGTTCTTGACGAGACGCCATTTTGAGGGCTCCACCTGATACTTCACCGCCAAAAATTACACCTGATCCCACATTGCGCAATCAATATCCGGAGATATTTCCGTATACAGCCGGATATTTGGGCAGTCCCGATTAATTCCTGCAATTAATTTACCACGTGTAAACAAATCAGAGGGTTGGTCTCCTCAGGTTTCTCTCTGCTAGTACTTTCAACAATTTCTTGATGTCAATTGGTATTCCTATTAAGCTCCTCCACGAGGCTGAGGGTCACATTGTGACTCTGGAGACGGTTATGGGTGAGATTTATCGTGGGAAGCTCCTCGAAGCTGAAGACAATATGAACTGTCAGCTACAGAACGTGACAGTTACCAACAGAAGTGGACAGGTAATGTTTCATTTGAAATTTAGTTTTAAGTATTAAAAAAATAAACTAACGTGTGTTAAATAATTATTAATTAATGGGTGTGGTTTTGTAATTAATGTGTGTGGGCGTTGTTTTAATTATTTTTTTAATTTTATTTTTATTTAATTTTTTGAGGCATGACTGATTGAAGCTCCTGTCATCATAAGTGTACAATAAGTGCTTGTTTGCATACTATTAGAGGAAGTTTAATTAGTCCTGTGTTCAATTGCCTTATTAAGTTTCAACTAACAGGATACCAGGGCAGTTAAACATTCCGTCCTTTGTTCATTAGAACTCTTATGAATATCCATGCCATACAAGTGTAAAATTTTGTTGGGTTTGTAATTTTGTGAGTTATTATTTAATGTCCGTTCGCATCATTTGCTTAGAAAGTTTTTATGTTGTACATGTAAACTACTCACAAATAGAGCACCATAGATCTAATGCTAGATTTATAAAGAAAAATAAGAGAGTGTCTTTGGTAGAATTAAGTTTTTTAATAAGATATATGTGAAAAGCAAAAACTTCAAATTTTACATTGAAAATTTGCACCAATATTATATACATGTACTTAGACAGTGCAAAAGCGTGTACACATGCTGTGTCTTCTCCTTATCTACATTCAAGGAAAACTATTTTGTGTCTGTTGACATTCACAATGATGTTATGTTATACTTTACTATTACACACAATCTTGTTTACTTTCATTTATATATTCCTACCTCATTTATCTGATTCCCCTCTCTCTTCCCCTACCTCCCCATCTATCCCTCTCTTTCTCTCTCTCTCTTGTTCCCTCAGGTTTCTCAACTGGAGCAAGTGTTTGTACGTGGTAGTATGATACGGTTTCTTATTGTCCCTGACATGCTTAAGAACGCTCCTATGTTTAAACCTAAGTCAGGAGCTAAGGGACTTGCAGCCGGAGCTGGGAAATCAGCCATGATAAGGGCACAAGGTACTTTTTGATTATAAGTTAATAAACGAGTGATCTTTGTAAGCTAATATTAAGCAGAATATGATGTAAGGAACATGCATTTGTTGCACTGATTGCAGTAATAGGAAGGGCATAATTTCCTGTTAGAATCACATGTAATCTTGTCAGTATGTTTTAATCCAAGAAATACTCATTTTCCTATGGCTTAGAATGACTTCATTTAATCCAAATGCATGGTATTATTGCTTCCACCAGAGATACTGTGATGTTTCTTGACTGTTACAAGCCTGCAGCTGTTAGTGCCATGCAATCTTATCTATTATTTACAGTAAACAGTATTGGCTAATAATAATGACAGTCCTGGTTGGTGTGTGTCAACTGTTGGTATAGAATATTGCATTGCTGGCTTAATTTGGTCTGGGCAAGCAACTGCAGTATTGTTAATTAGATTTATTGTTTTGTTAATTGAAATAGTCAATCATAATGTAATATTGAGGTATCTCTTGCACAATTATTATTTTTGTGTCTTTTCTTTATAGCCGGTATACGTGGGCGTGGTTCAAGAGGGCGTGGCGGCCCGCCCATGATGAGAGGTGGATTCAGAGGTGGAATGAGATAGAGAGAGAGATAGTAGGATGGAACTGATCATTTTTGTGTATCATTTATTTGATTATTATAATCGTTCATTTTCCGTGGTTTTTCTTCTCAATATAATACTAACATAGCTGTAGGACGTGTCAATGTGTTGATCTATGATGTTATGTGTTCAAGGTCAAAGAGCTAATGATTGCTGCATCATTATTGCACTGTACCGTTTATGCACCGTCAGCACTCAAATCTGATTGGCTGTTGCTAGGGGCGGGGCTTGTTGCTGCTATGGAGCTCCGGGCGTGCAGAAGCAAGCCTAAAATGCCCCAAATGAATACTATAGAAAAGCAATAAACTCTCGGATAAACTTGAATAAAGCAGAAAGGAAATTGGTATCACCACCTCCTGTCCACTGCCCTCTTATCGGGGAACCGCAAGACTTAAAAATAGTCTTATTAGTCTAATTCTGATCACAGACTGAGTACAATCATTTCCAACTTCAGTACAGAAAGAACTTTGCTTTCTCTTCTCGGCGACTTCTAATACCGCAGGAATATAAAGACGGCTACTACTACTTACTCTAAAGTCGTACTTCTCATAGCCAGCCTCGCTCTCCATCGCTCCTTTTGTTCCTAATACCATGCCATCTACTGGAGTTACCATCTCTGTCACGGCAGAGACCAATGCCGGCGGTCGGAAACATATGGAGGACTACATAGCCGTCTCCCTCTCTCCCAAGGAAAGCCTCCTCTCCAATCCCGAGATGAGAGAGCAGGCTTTTGTGGGGGTATTCGACGGCCATGGGGGCAAAGAAGCGGCCAAGTACGCAAGGGAAAATCTCTGGAGTGTCATACAAGACCAGTCCAATTTCCTCACACAAGATCCACAGAGCGTTAGAGAGGCGATCAGCAATGCCTACCTCCAACTACACAATACGATGGAAGAAAGCAGAGGTGGGCTTTTGTGCATTTAAATTTGAGTCCTATCATGCCTTACTTTTGAAACCGTCTTACCTTTCAAAATTATCAACAGGCTGATTCTTTCTGTTGTGATGATGCATTGTAAAGTTCATTATGCCTTTATCTGACCAAATCAGTACCTTTCTCAACAAAGTTCCTTCTCTTTTTTATCTCTAGTCCACATTATCATTCCCAACATGTCCATAGTTTACTGTCTTGCCTCATTTCCTTAATTACATCACGTTACATGTACATGTATTATGTTAACATGTTTTCCCTGTAATATCTCTCAATGGCTAACGGTTCCCCTTTATCAGTATTCTTTCCCTTTCTCTCTATAGCCTCCTGGGTCCCAAATAAAACCGGCGATTTGAGCACTGCCGGTACGACAGCCTCGACAGTTATCTTTCGAAAGAACCACATATATGTAGCAAACGTAGGCGACTCTACAGGTATCATGGGTGTGAGAAATCCACGTTACGGGGAGCCTGGAGAGCCTCAAATCATCCCAAAGCTACTCACTAAAGACCATAAGCCAGAGGATCCCGAGGAGCAAGAGAATATCAGGAGACTAGGTATGATACTACGGACACGTTTGTGTATACGCATTGTTATAGAATAATGTAAACATAGATTGTAGTGTGTTATTATTCTAGAAGCGGTATTATATACTGTAGCTAGTATTTTTGTTATAAGACAGCTTTTGGGATAAACTAGAAACACAGTTATGATGTGTGGCGTTGTATGCGTGTTATAGTGTCTGACTGTTCTGTGGTCGTGGTGGTAGTTAACCTGATAGTCAGTTTTTAATAATAACAATGTCATTTCCCATTGGGTCAGACACAACGATTATCGCCTCACCAGTGAGTCATTGCACTAGATGAAAATATAGTACATAGTTTGCTATTACATCAACATGCACCATAGATGCCATTCATGTCTTTGTTTGCATATAAGAATGCTTGAAATTCAATTTGGTCTCCCTTTCAACTACACATACTTATGTTTGCTCTGATGGCCGTCATGCATGAGACGACTTGTTGTTAGCAACGAAGCAACATGTTGCTAAAATTAGGACATCTTTTTATTTCTGGCAGCATGTTTCTTACGAGATCAAAGTAACCACAAATCTTGCTAACAACAAGTTGCCTTGTGTTTATGAAAGCCTTTAAAGTACATACATTAAGTCCTAATAACTTTTCTAAAATATATATCTCTCTCTCCTCTCACTGTAGGTGGTGAAGTTGCTCTTAGTCTAAAAGGCGTCATGAGGGTTGTTTGGGAGAGAATGCGAGTCAAATCAAACGGAAAGAAAGAGATCGATCGAATACCATTTCTGAGTGTCGCTCGCTCCCTAGGTGACTTCTGGTCGTACTCTGCCCAAAGCGGAGAATATACCGTCTCTCCTGTACCGTACGTATACGACTTTCCGCTTGACCTCAACGAACAGAAATTCATCGTGCTGGCCAGTGATGGATTATGGAACGTCATGAGCCCGTCGGACGTAGTCAACTTCATTAGTGACTTTGATAGCAAGGGCACCTCTGGTAGCAACAATAGCAGCGATACTAACGTCCAGAGAGATGTAGTGAGTGCTTTGATTAAAGAGGCTCTTAGTCGCTGGAGTCGTAAGAAACTCCAAGCAGATAACATTGCTGTGTTGATAGCCTACCTGTCAGAGGAGGAGGAAGAGGAGGAAACAGGAGCTCCTCCTTTGTTTGATGTTGTGTCGTCAGCTAACGAGGCGACCGAGGTCGGTAGTAAATCTGCAGTTTCGTGTTCGGAGGAAGCTGATTCTCGCCAGTGTGTAGCGATTCCTTCTATTCCTTCTCCGGGTGAGTCTTCTCTCTCTCCCTCCTCGTCTCTGATCGAGAGGAAGGTTAGTGTGGAGTCTTGTTCTGGCGAGAATGAGTCTTTCGTGAGGCTCTTTCCTAATGGAAGTTCGGTCGAATACGAGAGTATGATAAAATACCGTCACAAGAGGAAGAGTAAGAAGAAGAATAAGAAATTGTCAAAGTGAGCCAATTTTTCATTTTCATTATCACAATGTACATGATAGTGAATGGCTTGATTTCAGGGAATTACCATTAGTGGTATTAATTTGATTTTCTGTTGTATACTTTGATACTGTAAACCTTACATTGATGCTTTCCCTTTTCTTTAAATGGCCTTTGGGATTTTTTATTCTCACTTGCTTACATGAACATATATTTTGAGTCATAAATATCCTTTTTGGCTTGCCCCATGTAGCCCATCTTCATTGCTTATTGTACACACCTGAATGCTCATCCTTTTAATTATTAATCTGCAGCTCCTGATATGCACCTGTTCTTTGCATTCAAAACACTTTGTTAATAATTACATTATGTGACTTGCACCTTTTTGTAGGCACAAGACACTGCTACCAACAATCGGTGGTCCACCACCTCTACAGCCTATGAGTGACATACATGCAGCACTCCCTTCTCCTCCTAATAGCGATTCTCATTCCCCTCCTGTTGAGTCTTGCATTGATTCCTCTACCAGTGGGATCATGGATGAAGAATATGGAGTTCGTCTTCAGAAGAGGAGCAAGGATGATGGAGTTGCTGATGATGAAGATGAAGGAGTTTCCCTGCCAGAAATGAAGAAGTTTAAAGAGGATCTACCCCTACCAATCGATTTCTCAAGACTGAGGTTAGGGGGAGTACAATTTATGTGTACATGTACATACATGTATTCGGGGTTCTGCCTAGAAAAAAACTAGAGGTGGTTGGAGACTAATATTGTTCCTTTTAAATTTATGTGCACCATACTAGTAGACTACAATATCCTGCTTTATGTATGGCTATGGTTGGTCTAAGTGATGAACTGGTTGGTGCATTTGTTGAGGTGGTTGTCCCAACCACCCCCAACCACCATAGGCAGAACTATGATGTAAGTGTACATGACTTTGTGTGTGTATTGACCACAAAATTAAATTGATACTAGCCAAACTTTTGTGTGTGTGGGTGTGTGTGTGAGTATGAAATGACATAGGGTCAACATAGAATGTGCCATAAATGTAAATATCATTATTACACTCTATTCTCCAATCCACAGGTGTGATAGAGTATCTACTGATAACTCGAGTGACAGTGGTAGCAGTGGTATAGTCAGTGACATGGACTCTGCTAGCAATACTGAGATACTATTGTCGTTACTAACCCCACCACCTCTTGCTGACTCTCCTCTACTCTGCACTACTCCAAAGCTAATCAAGTGAGTGGGTGGATGTAACTTGAATCATGTCTGGTTCCTTTGTTATTAAATGACAAGGCAATGACCATGTTTGGTGTTGTCAGATATTCAGGAGGGGAAGTGATTTGGCGTGTCTATTTTTGATAGTATTTATGATGATGTCATGGCATTATTGTTGCTATACTAACTGAGTTAGTGTATAGTATTCATTCTCTCTCTCTCCCTCTCTCTCCCTCTTAGTTCTTCTTCCTTGCCAGATAGCAACACACTAAACCCTATTGATAAAGATCTTATTATGGAGTGTATGTCATCTGCTACTAGCCAGCAAGAATAATGATAATAATAATAACAATAATGCTAATGATGTTCTTAGAGATATGCTGTACGTGCTATTAGAGAGACTAATAAGGAATTTTATTTTGTGTGTTGCTCTTTTTATTGATAGAACATGTGAGACTAATGTGTGCCTAACACATGCACTGAGAATTAAGCTAATTATAATTATTTATTTATTTTTTAAAAATAATGATTATTATTTTTAATTTTAAACTTTTAGCATTTCAGCAGCAGTTGGGTGGCATTACAGCTTCACACTCTAAGCAGCTGTCGCTATAGCAGGAAAATGCGGCAATAATTTACTATTAGAGTCCGTTGTAGAGTGGATTGCATTTGCTTCCCAGTAGCACCCCTGAAGGCCAGCATAGCCACGGATCATCAGTGATTCTCCTCCATTCCGTCAAGTTGGATTTCATTTCCTCAAATACTGAAGCATACTCTGGGTCTGTTGCTAAATTCTTAAGCTCGTGAGGATCATTCTTAATATCGAATAGCTCATACTGATCCCTGTAGTAGTACTGGTGCAAAGTCTTGAACCAGTGAGTGCTCTTGTTAGCTGCTACATTTGAGAGCAAGTCCAAGTACGTGATGCTGGAGTAGAGATCAGTGGCTAGTGGATACGGCATGGCAAAGTTGAGATTATGAATGAGCCTAAAGTCTTTGGTCCGCATTACCCTCATGGGGTAGTACATAGTCACCTCATGGAAATCGTGACTTGCAAAAACAGTGTCCCAACCTTTAGTGGGCTCGCTAGCAGTTACAGGTAGTAAGGACTCAGTTTCCAGTCTTGTAGGATTAGGACCAAATACTGTATAGTCTGGATACTTGAGCCCAAACCAGTCTAAGACTGTTGGTACAATGTTAGTACTACTTACTAGAGCGTCACTGGTCTTCCCCCAGCGAGACTTGTCCTCGGGGTTTGATATCATCATTGGTTCCACCATTCCGGACTCGTACAGGTTTGTCTTTGCGTTGGGGAATGGAGTACCGTTGTCAGAGATGTAGAGAATGAGTGTATCGTCGTCAAATCCAAAGTCTTTCAATGCATCAAGCATCAGGCCTACACCTTGATCCAACCTACTGATGGTTTTGTATTGATTGGCAATGTCCTTCCTTGCAACTGGGGTATCTGGGATGAAATAAGGAACTTCGACATCATCTGGATCATAGACAGTTGGGGTCCAATCTGGTATCACACCATTTCCTTTGCTACCGTCACCAAAGTTCTCACAAAAGCCATCACAGCCTCTGTGTGCATCAAAGAACCCTATGTATAGAAAGAAAGGCAAATCAGACTTTTGAGCTTGAGCCAAGAAGTCTCTTGCAAGCTCTTTCATGAGAGTAATGTTCCGACCAACTTGATTTAAGTTATAGCCATCTTGCTCAGTGAAGGAGTATGCATAAGGATAGACAGACTCTGGTGCCACATGCTTCTTGCCTATTATCCCAGTCCAGTACTTTTCGGTTTTGTTGAGTATGCGAGGTAAGCTCATGATCCCATCAAACGATGAGAAGTGATGGATTGCATGCTCCAGCCCATACATCCCATTCTGATGCTGTGGTAGACCTGTCATAATGCAAGAGCGACTTGGAGAGCAGCTGCTTACAGAAGTAAAGGCATGATTAAAGACTAAGCTCCTCTGGGCTAGCCTTTGGAGGTTTGGTGTCTTAATGCGATTGTTTCCATAGATCGGTGTCTCAAGGCCTTCATCATCTGCAACCATTAAGAGAACATTTCTCTTAGCGTGAGCAGTAAAGCAGGAACAAGTCAAGAAGAAGACTAGAAGAATGGAGTAATGGCTCATCTTTTCCAAAGCTGTAAAGTAAATTCACAGTTTAATTTGATGCAGTACATCCTGTTTACACTTCCTGCATAGTTTGAATCACAATAATGACACGTGGGTGATTGGCTGGTCAGCCTATATTATGCCTATAATCTGCTGCCAAGGGTACGGTTCCGGTAAGAAAGACATTTGTACTCATTCCACGACTGTTTGGAAACAACTAGTTAGTGTATTAAGACACTGACGATTCTTGGCGAAGACAAAGTAGCATAGTTTATTGGAAATGGAGCTCAGCGATGCCATTGTTGCTAATGCCAGCCCTCAAGATCAAGGAGAAGCAGTGCCGGCAGTACAGCCGAGAAAGGGCCCTTTGACAATCTTAAAGTCAAGGCTAAAGAGAGGGCAGCATCATTTCAACAAGTGGTTGGATAATACATCTATCCATGGAGTTGTTCATATTTTTAAAGGGAAGTCTCGCCTTAGGAGAATACTATGGCTACTAGTGTTCCTCTTTGCTTCCATTACTTGTGCAGGGATCATAATATTCTACATAATTCTGTGGGCTAAAGATCCAACTTCAACCTCCATCAGTTTTATATCTGATGATGAAGGACAGTCTTTCCCAGCGATCACTGTCTGCAACTTGAATGCTGTTAAGAAAGACTATGCTGATCAAAATGTGGTTGATTTACTGAATAATTATGCTAATCCCACTTCTGGTTTCGTACGAGATTGGCCATTTTCAAATACCAGTAGATCTTGTACTGATTCGCTCAACAGTATCAG